TGTGTGTGTGTGTGTGTGTGTGTGTGTGTGTGTGTGTGTGTGTGTGTGTGTTTGTTTGTGTACGTGTATAGTACTGTATAGCTCACTGTAATTTTTATACATTTCCTAGAACTGGTTGGGATATCCGTGTACCTGTACTAGATTGCTAATGCAATACGGGTTGCCCACTATGGCTGGATCGGGCCGATCGCCCGACTCGATCGCCTGAAGCTGAAAACAAATACGATTGTTTTTGAGGCGGCTGAGTAGAGCGATCGGCCCGATCGGCCATCGGCAGGTCCTATCCGTAGTGGGCACCCTGTATAACATGGTCTCTTGACACGCAGGAAAGAGTCTAACTGAACAATATTTCGCTTATAATATGTCATATCTGAAAATGAGATCATAATTAAAACCTATGAGTTATTATTCTAGCAAATATAAGCTCTTTTAGTAAATTTACATACAACTTCTTTTCAGGTCACAGACATGCTATCTACAAGCTGCATAATAGAAATGAACGGTATCCCTTGCTCCTATGATGGTGCGTTCATTGGCGTACCTTAGCTGACCGACAGCCAACGAGGTGGAGACAAAGCTGACCACCCCTAGATCCGATTGTCTGTAGTTTTCTTTGCTGGAAAATAAACGCTTCCGGTACTACTATCTTTCAGTTTATTTTATGCTGTCAACGGAAGCAAGCACACGTCAAAGAAAACAGGGGGAAAAACCCAAAAGGTCTGGATTCATGGATGTATTCACAAAAGAGTGACACGAAACATCGATACTAAATCTGGATCAGATCCATCCATTTATTTATTTTTTATTTCATTTTTTGGTTTGTTTATTTTTTGCTTTTCTGAATTTATCTCATCTTTCATGAAATGATTTGTGTTAAAGGCAGCAGCTCTTAAGGTTCCTCCAAATGATAATATAGAGAAGATAAAGTGGGATGTACTAATACAGCAGTTGTACTTTAAATGTTTTAATTGTGCGGGTCTCTTACGGTTCTGACGCGCGCTCATATGACCTTAGCAGTTGCGAGCGCCGTAAAACCTTATACTACTACTACGGTTCTGAAAGACAATAAACATTTCCTCTTTAACTTTATTTTATTCAACCAGTAGCTTCAACTTAAGCTTGGCGCTTACATGACCAAAATTGAGTCGATAGTGCCGTAAAACACCTACTCAAACTCAAACTCAATTCAACTTAAGCGGAAACGTACTCACACCAGGCAGTATGTCATTGACTCCACGTTTTGCTCCCACTGCGCCCATAACCAACTCTGGAGGCTTCCTTAGCACCGCTCAGCGTCGCCTACCTCCGCTACGGCAACAGAGCCATCCCCAACCCCACCACCACCAGCAGCAGCAACAGCAACATCAGCAGCACCACCAAAGACGTAGCCACCACCCGGCGTTGTCGCTAAACGCCACCAAAAGTGGCCACAGCATCGGTGATGGCGACAGGCTCAACAACAGCAGCAGCAACAATAGCAACAAACATAACCACAACCACAACAACAACAACCACAACAACAGCTATAATGCCAGTAACAACGGCATGGCGTCGTCAAGACTGGGTGTCAGCCACCATAGGAACTCCGGCGCTCCGGCCTATGACAACGCGTCACCCGTTTCCTTGACGACGGGAACGTCCGGGGCACATCGACTGTCGTCATCGTCGGCTGTTGGCGCCTCGGGTGGTTTAAAAGGTCGAAGATCATCCCCAAGACAACGACAACAACAACAAAACCATCACTATTTACAGCGGACCTCAATGCAGAAAATGGCACCTCAGTCTAATATTGGATCTGACCTGGCAGTTCAAGGTAGGAGTTATGTCCCTTGTCTCATTAGTGCATGCATATTATATACATTGTACCTTCGTCGGCTTTTGACGTAAGCACGGAACTGTTTTGCTTCATCCCCTGCATCACTATTGTCCTTTGTGTTCGTGCTCAAAGATGCCAAACTCTAAAAGCCTTCAGCTACATACTGTCCTATTTATGGCTCAATGATTTTTGTGCTCAGTCGTACAACGTATACAATGGTCTGCTGTAAAATGTTGTAAAATTAAGTTACCCCCTCCCCCACCACACAGACCACACACACACCTTACCAAGGAATATTTCGTCAACTCTCTAAATTGATACCACGAACGGTAGAAGCTTCTCCAACGCCAGGTTATTGAGGACATACATGTTTCTCAGTTAAGCGTTAAGTTGATATACTTCGCTGTAATGTATTTTTGTGATATGTATTTAGTATGTCTATATTGGTACTCCACAAAGAGAAATTTGTTGTGGCATGGTAAACGCATACACGGGCACGCACTTGTCAACACACACACAGACACACAAACACTCACACGCTCACAAACATACACACAAACACACACACACGCACACAAACGCACACACACATACACACATATACGTATGCACACACACACACACACATACACACACGCACACATACACAAAACACATATACGCATTCACACTCATACATACACACATACGCACGCACGCACATACACCCACACACTGACACACACACACACATACACACACACACA